GTTGCTAACTGGTTAGCAACGATGCTTCCGAGAAACCAGCCACAACCAAACCTACTTGCAAACCTTCCGCCACAACAATTGATAATCAACCTCACATTCACTTTATTCACTCGTGTAAAGTCGAGCACCACTCGGGAGAATTCGGAAATGAAACCGTTGGAGCAGCCACTTCCCTACGATTTGTGTTCTAAAATGCGAAATCAGATAAATGCTTATGTTACACATGGGCTGTATTAATTGTTTCAGCCATAATCATTTGAAGTATTATTTTTTGTGGCTGCTACTATGCCCAGTTCTCGTTAAATTTGATCAACCGTCCCAGTGCGACCTCTATTAAACTCTGTCGACTGCTGGTAGTCATGCATCTGCTGGGTCTCTGCTGTGTGCATCACTTCACACAGTATTGAGACTGAGGCTTAATCCCAATGCAGCAAATTGGTTAAGACTCCTAGGAACTGGACAGAGTTGGCCATGTGTGCTGGCAGTAAGTGGGCAGGTAGGATGAAGGAAACAGGAAGCTTCCTACAGAGCTGGACTGTGTCTGAAAAAATGGCCTGGGCATTTTTGGCACCATGATTAGTTCGATTATACGGAGAGACATTCAGCATACCAGAGGACATGTGTCACATTGTGTGGTTTAAAACATGAATACACAGGGATAGAAAATACATCACATAAAAATTGGTAAATAAGTTACTTAAATATTAAGAATATGTATTCAACTAGATATAAAACTGTTGGTATGTTAAAACCAAAATAGAAAATATACCAAAAATAACTTCTTGTGTTCACTGTTTCTCATTTCAACACAGTGTTGATGTCAGCATTTCTGTTTATATCAGTCAGTTCTTCATTCAGCAAAGCTACTTATGATCAACCGGATATTTACTTAACTATAAGTGGGAGTATTCCAATGAATACATATTCCTTCAGTAATATATTTGTTTTTAGAGACATACTTGTGTTTGTTTTAATGATAGGTGCAGAAAAACATCTTTTTTTCTAATGATTAGTCAAGTATGTAACTAGTTACTAAACCCCTCCATGTTTTAAGTTGTTCATTTTGCCAAAGCAATGTTTTACTAATGCTAACTATATCATGTTATTGAAAAAAAAACAAAACAAAATGACTAGTTAAAATAGTGTAAGTTGCATGTTTTATGGAAATGTAAATGTTTTTGTTACAGCATTCCAGCACTGCCTCCGTTTCCTTCCTGTTTCTTACTAGTTTGCTTATAAGAGGGAAATTTCTCTTTTGAGGCAAATGAGTGTTCACTAGTGCAAATGTTTCTTACTGGACTCTTAGTAGCTATTCTGATCTGCTCAGTCTGTCCCTGCTGGGTCACTCCTCTCTCCTCCTCTTCTAAATCCACCTGCATTAGCCTTCTGCTCCTTCCTGCTGCTCCAGTCGTACCTGTGGAACAAAACAAACGTGTTATTTTGAAATATTTGGCGGGCCGCTTGAAGGTTTTGGAGCCTTTCTTTACTTTTCTGTGAGATTTTCCATGTGTCATATGGTTTATTATATTTTTAGAGGGTAGAAGGAGCTGGCCTCTCCAAATCTGGACGCCTCAAAGGTTTGATTAGCTCAGTCAGTGAGGGGAGGGCCGGGCTGAGGAGGGTTTGGCATCTAAACAAAACATGTGCAGCTTTATAATATAATTCATTTTTTAATCCTTTAGTTTGATTATCATTTGGTTAATTCATGGATTTATATTATATAGATGACTATATAACATAATTAATGATAAATATAATTTTGAATACATTATGATATATAACTGGGATGCCCAAAGGCCAGTCAAGACCTGGTTTCCTATCATAGTTCATTCAGCATCTGGTTCCTAAAAGCTATATGGTTTCCCACAATCCTTAGCATGATGGACATACATGCGCAGCCCACCTTAAGGAAATGAACAAAAATAAACACATTCATCACATGCTAATGTACATGCGTACAAATGTTTTTGGTTTTATAACAGAGATTCAGCTGTTTTAACTTAGTGCTTTTTTAGTTCTTTTCCAGAAGGCTGTAGTCACAATTTGTCTGTCATTTGCCTTTCTTTTTTTGAACTTTATTGCCTTAAATTTGGATTAACAGGCAATTAGCATCACAAAGAAAAATTGGGCAAAACAGACAGAGAAAAAAACCCCAAAAAACTATTGAATCTAATGTGTCACACAAATAGAAACAACAGAAATAAAGGGTAAAGCACATATCT